ATATGCAGTAAATAGAAAAGGTACAATGACAACAAAGTACCTTTTCACCTCACAATAGTGCGTTTATAGCAATGCACATGGCAGCCATTTTGTTTTATACTAAGGTTGCATTTATCTGTTTTATTTATCCCTGGTTCCCCGAGAGAGTGACCCTTTGTGTCATCCTGGCTGGTCAGAATTGTACAATGACCACTGGCTCACAGCTGGAGTGACCATGACCATGTGACCATGTGTTTAGCCGAAAATGTGAAACATGAAATATCTTGTAAGGCGGTCAGTTTGTGCGTTAGCTTCATTGAATTTACTTTAAGAATAGTCATATTAGTTTACAGAAATAACTTGATTAAAATATATTTTCTAATACGAAATTGGTGTCATAAGAAAGCTATGACACTTGGGTAACTGGTTGACTCAGTTCACTCCAATGTTAATAATGACACGCAGGTATTGCTGTGTCAATATTGCTGTGACGATTCATGCACACGGTACGTGTTGGGGATATAGCCTGAGATTATCCAATCATCGGCTAGATGTTCCCAGTACCCTATGGGCGAAGATACTGTTAGTGATCATTTTCTAATTTGAATAATAGGCTTAAATATCGTTATTTCTGACGCAAGATTCCATCGAGATAATAATGCTATTACGTTTGCCGTCTAATTTTAAGTTGCCATGGTTACTAAACAGTTCCCAAATGAAACACCTGGTGCACGACGAAGTAGAAGATTTACGCTTTCTGTCACAGATGAAAAGTTCAAACATGAAGGGGTGATTTGACGAACCGTAGTGTGAACGTGCTTCACCTTAAGCTGTATGAAGTATTGGGGATGTTAGCTGGGGTTGTGTTGGGGGGAATTTCCAAAGCTCTATAACAATGCACCAAATCCCTTTCTCGAAGATTAACCGTAATCCGCAATGGGGCAGGATACGTTCACCTTTTAGCGAACACCTCGTATCATTAACTTGTTGAGTGTGATCCATGAACAGGTGCTCATCACATGATACGAATCGTACAATTAACTGATCTTTTAGCAGAGATTTCTTATGATTATGTTTTTTGTGGCTTTTGTTCATGTTCGCGCTGATTTATGTCCACAGAATTGCTGACATCAGCGTACATCAACACACCTCATTTACCTTCGCCAGTATTCTGTTTGATTTTCACCTCCCTAGCGTGTGTTAGGTTCGATATAACTACAGGCAGTAGCAAGCATTGAATGCATGTAGCAATGTCGCAGGGTAGGCCACTAGAATTCCCAACGCTCATAATATAATGTAACTACCTGCATGGTCACACAAAGAGACATTGAGTTGGTTCGAATTCGTGTTAAATCTCCAAGGAAATCGTTCTGAAGACCTCCCAAGGTTATCGTATCTTTTGATACATTTTAAGGATTTCTATATATATATATGCATTTAGACACCTACCTCGTCCATGTCAGATGTTGGTAATTTTTATATGGAAAGTTCCCCCTGTCTCCAACATCTGAAATGGAAGAGGTAGGTGTCTAAATGCACCGTAGTCAGTAAGGACCTCTGAGCCCAGCTCATGGGGGAGAGACATGTTTCTGAAACATAATTAATTAAGGAACATTTTGAAGCAATTCCACGCATACTGTATCAATGGAGATATTGTTTTTATCGAAATATCCATATTAGTTTCTCTTTTGATTGATGTAGGTTTCGCCAAGGAAGCGGTCCGTCATATCCTGATCAATCCCATTCATTCAATCTCATTCAAATCAGATCTAAGATCTAAGAGACATTTCTTTACGGTTCATGTCAGAACGACCTTTCAACCGACCATTCAGAGCGTCGCTTACCAAACCGGGGCAGTAACAGTAAGAATACGTTTTCTAATCATACAACCTCGAAAAGGCAAACACAGGATATTCCGAAAGACAGTTACCAGCTGTACAATTTTGAATGCTAGACATCGTCTGTCTTTCGCTTCAATGGGATAAACATTTGAAACGAAAGGCTTTTCATAGCCCGTGGGAAGTACTTTTATCTAATCATACGTTACGTAAGATTTTTCTCTTTGTTCAGTTTTTTCAAATCGAGAACTGTGTCAAAATATTTTTCAAGCCTAATCTGAAATGGAACCACCATTTTGAAACTGGTGCCGTAAAGCTGGAGAAAGCTGCTTTCTGATTGGATAATGTGGAGCTTCCTGTTAGTCCATTCTTTGGTCGGTCAAAGTTTGTCAAAGGTCTTTCTGACGAGAACTGTGTCATCATATTTTTCAAGCGTAGTCTGAAATGGAAGTCGCCGGGTTGAAACGAGTGCCGTAAAGCTCGAGAAAGCTGCTTTCTAATTGGCTGATGTCGACTTCTTGTTAGTCGTTTCAGTGGTCCGTCAAAGTTCGCGAAAGGTCGTTCTGACGTGACCCGTTATTGGATGTCCTCAGATCTTTGTTTAGCGGCAGCGAGAACTTAGATCTGATTGTAATGAGATTGCCTCTCACATAATTTGACCGTGAAAAAATGTCACGTTGTCGCATTGTTGCCCTTGGGTAAAAGTCACACCAAGTACTCAAAAAGAGACAATGTTACAAATGTCGCTTTGTCGCGTTTTGGTTAAGTTTGACCCTTTTTGTTTGTTTTTGTAACGGTGATAACGCGAGAATGTCCCTTCTAGGATCCCATATTAAGCTGGTACGCCATGATATATACCGTCCAAGGTTGGCATTTAATCCCAGCTGACTGGCGTCGCCTAATCAGTCTGTTGACATTAAGTCTCCTTGTTCCAATTTTTTTGTGGCATTATCGAGTCTTACCAGACAGAAAACGGTCATTGCATAACAGGATCTGGTCCCGGTCGTTGGAATCGTGTCAGAACACCCTGTAGCTGTGCAGAAGGTTAGGGAACAAAGCCCGTGGGGGTTGGCAGTCACAGTGTCACGGCATTATCAATGGCTGTTTATACAGATTGTCACGGCTTTTGAGTTTCGATTTCTTGGGACCTCGTTTCTTCTCATTTAACTTTTTATTGTGTACAGATCTGGTCAATAATGGAATAGCCATGTTTTTTGTCACCGTAAATCAAACCCAAAGGTGAAGAGTGTTTGGTTCACATGATGTTTGTAACTAGGACTTATAAAAGGTTTAGTGGTACGAAGCTTATCAATATTCCTGCGGTTCCTGGGTTACACCCATTGTTGCCTGGCTATTGCGTCAGTAGGTTGCCTATGTTGGCTGGCTTTTGGTGGATGACTGAGTTGGTTAGTTGCCTTGGTTGTCTTTGCGGATTACCTACTATTTTAAGGGGTGCATGTCTTGATAATTTTGCTTTGGTTTTTAAGGGATACATGTCTTGGTTGTTTAGGGGTGCATGTCTTGATCCTTTTCCCTTGGTTTTTAAGGGATACATGCATTGATAATTTTGCCTTGTTTTTTGTATGGTGTACATGCCTTGATCATATTGTCGTGGTGTTTATTGGGTGCTTGTGTTGCCATTATTGTCTGTGGTGCCATCGTCTATGGGGTGCTTGCCTTGCCTTGGTTTTAAAAGGGTGCTTGCGTTAGCAATATAGCTTCTGGAGCCTTCGTTTTTATGGGGTTCTTACGTTGCTCGTTCTTCCTTTGTTTTCATGAAGTGCATATCTTGATGACATTGCCTTGGTTTTTCTCGGACGCTTGCGTTGCTTATGGTGCCTTGGTTTGGGATGCCTAGTAGTACCGTTTGCTACGTTACATTGATTGTATAGGCATTTTCGCGTTCGTTTGCTTCTTGCTCTGCCTTTGTTGCCTATATCTTGGTTCGGTTGCCTAGTTTGTCTGTAATTGACGTTACAAGAATCCGAATAGAATGGAATGGCTATGTAGACACTTCCTGCAGTATGTATGTGAAGTGATGTGATGTAGTGTCTTTGATTATTACGATGGAGCACTGAAGAACGCTGCCTGCATTTCATTATCTGCTTGTCTGCATTGTGCATCATCTGAATCACATGAAGGCCCTACCATTTCCTTGAGACGTGGTATTCATTAGAAAATACAAGGCAAGTAGGGACAAGATTAGCTTTCGTCTCATTGTAGTATCCTCGGATTTCCATGTTCCGGACTGGTGTATGGTTACCTTCCTTATCAGCGGCCAGTGATGTCGGATTTGGTCATAATCGTCTCCTATTGCTTTCCTTCGAGACCGTGAGTTGTATAGTTATCAGCCGATCATACGTCACTTCCTGTTCCTATCTCGCCTGAAGTAACCAATGAGATCCCAATGGGGCCATTGACCTACGTGCACTGAATACTACATTAGTTGATGTGGAGGCCGAGCGGTCATTTGTATGGATGACCATACTATAAGAGATTACAGATACCGAACATAATTGATTTTTCCCAGTGGGTTTTATAAACATTTATAATTGATCAACCTTTCAGATGACCACAATTTATTAATCAGTAAATGCAAACCGATTGCAACAGTGTTTTTTCATTCATACATTCGGTTTCACGCTGTAATTAAGCCCAATGAATAGAACATGTTGTATCTTTTCCCGATTACTACTGAGTTCTGAGTAAAAAACTTTTCGAACAACGATACAATGATAATTTTTGCAAAATTTCTAATGTACGTGTTCTCAACACACACAAAAGTATCAATTAGGTCACTCTTAGATAAATATAATGTAAATGTATTTTGTACCATGGGTCAAATGGCCTTATACAAATAAATCTGTCTGTCTGTCTGTCTGTCTGTCTGTCTCTTGGGTAAGATGTTAAACTCTACAACTTAAGTAACTGGTCGTGACGAAGAAGAGGAATTAGGAGGAGAACAAAAAAAGAAGAAGAAGGAGTAAGAAAATTAGATGACGATGAAAAGGGAGAAGAGAAGGAGGTGGAAAAGGAGAAGACAGATGGGAAAAGGAGGGGAAGGCGAGGAAGAGGCGAGGAAGATAATAAAAGGGGGCGGGAGAAGAAAATACGAAGGGTATTTAATTATATAATTTGAACGAAGAATGTGGAGGAGGAGAAGAAGGTGGAGGTGGGGAGGAGATGGGGAAGAAGTTTGTAGGACGTGAAGAAGGTGGGATGCAGCAGGTGAAGGTGGAGGACGAGGAGAAGGTGGAGGAGAAGAAGGAAGTGGAGAAGATGGAGCAAAAGAAGGAGGTGGAGAAGGTGGGGCAAAAGAAAGTGAAGAAGGTGGAGAAAAAGAAGGAGGTGGAGAAGCTAGAGGAAAAGAAGGAGGTGGAGGAGAAGAAGGAGGTTTAAAAGGTGGAGGGAAAGAAGGAGGTGGAGAAGGAAGTGGAGAAGGTGGAAGAAAAGAAGGAGGTGGAGGAAAAGAAGGAGGTTTAGAAGGTGGAGGGAAAGAAGGAGGTGGAGAAGGAAGTGGAGAAGGTGGAAGAAAAGAAGGAGGTGGAGGAGAAAAAGGAGGTGGAGGAAAAGAAGGAGGTTTAGAAGGTGGAGGGAAAGAAGGAGGTGGAGAAGGTGGAAGAAAAGAAGGAGGTGGAGTAGGTGGAAGAAAAGAAGGAGGTGGAGGAGAAGAAGGAGGTTTAGAAAGTGGAGGGAAAGAAGGAGGTGGAGAAGGTGGAGGAAAAGAAGGAGGTGGAGAAGGTGGAGGAAAAGAAGGAGGTGGAGAAGGTGGAGGAAAAGAAGGAGGTGGAGAAGAAAAAGGAGGTGGAGGAGAAGAAGGAGGTTTAGAAAGTGGAGGGAAAGAAGGAGGTTTAGAAGGTGGAGGGAAAGAAGGAGGCGGAGAAGGTGGAGGAAAAGAAGGAGGTGGAGTAGGTGGGGGGAAAGAAGGAGGTGGAGGATGAGGTGGAGCAGGAGAAGGTAGAAGGGAATGTGATGAGGAATGGAGAAGATGGAGGAGAGGGAGATGGAAAATGTGGAGGAGAAGAAAGAAGTGGAGAAGGTGGAGGAAAAGAAGGAGGTGGAGTAGGTGGAGGAAAAGAAGGAGGTGGAGCAGGAGAAGGTAGAGGAGAAGGTGGAGGAGAAGGAGGTGGAGAAGGTTGAGGAGAAGAAGGAGGTGGAGCAGGAGAAGGTAGAGGAGAAGGTGGTGAGTGGAGAAGGTGGAGGAGAAGAAGGAGGTGGAGCAGAAGGAGGTGGAGGAGGAGGAGAAGATGGAAGTGAAGCAGGAGAAGGTGAAAGAGGAGGTGGAATAGAGGGAGTGTAAACGGTGAAGGGGAGAAGAAGGTGGAGGAGAATAATGAGGAGATGGAGGTTGAAGAGAAGGAGGTGGAGGGGGTAGGAGAAGGTGGAGGAGAAGGTGATGAGGAGTGGAGAAGGTGGAGGAGAACATGGAGGTGGGGGAGAAGGAGGTGGAGAAGGTAGAGGACGAGAAGGTGGAGGAGTAAAAGGTGGAGCTGGAGCAGGAGAAGGTGGAGGAGAAGGAGGTTGAAGAGAAGAAGGAGGTGGAGGGAAGGGGAAGGTGGAGGGGGAGCCGGGGAAGAAGATGGAAGGGAGCAGGAGAAGGTGGAGCAGGAGAAGAAGGAGGAGAAGGAGGTCGAAAAGAAGAAGGAGGTGGAGACGGTGGAGGGGAGGAGAAGGTGGAGGAGAAGGAGGTGGAAGAGAAGAGGGAGGTGGAGACGGTGGAGGGCAGGAGAAGGAGGTGGAGATGGAAAAGGAGAGGGTAGTGGAGATTGTTTAAGTTACGTAGGGCATTAAAGGCGAAATTAATTTCCAACAGCGTTGTTACAAATTGTACATTTTCCTTCACAGTTTCAATAGTGAGCCAAATGTTGGAGTGCGTGAGTGAGTGAGTATGGCGTTTCGCCGCTTTTAATTATCAAAGCGACCAAATCAATTTCTATAATCGTAAGAATTCTCGACTAAAAGCATGCGACTATATCATAAGCATGTGTTTATGAAATACATACCAAATGATGATGATACCAGGCTTTCGCTAAAAGATGAGCGTATCCTGCTCCACATGTAAGCTCATGTCACAAACACATGCAGAGGCAAGTCAATAGTTGGCATTGTCACTGATGCGTCAAGTTTGGAAAGGTCATTCACATGTCTATCATGAAGCCTTTTGAAGGCTTTTCTGACTCCTTGAATCTTTGAACCTGGATCAAACAACTTTTGAGCAAAGCTCTTTGAAATCTTCGTAGAAAGAGCATGATCGATTGTATCTCAAAAGTTGTAAGTTAGTGGCACCAAAGCTGAAGCTGCTGGAATATTGCTTCACGTAGACCGAAAGTTGACTATTGGAAAGTTGAAGTAATCCCTCTTTTCATACAGTCTTGTGGATAGTTTTTTACTATGAATCTTTATAGCTAGATCTAAACGAATCAATGGATTGCAGCGTATCAAAAGTATGTTTTCTCCTCTATTTGTAAGAACCATGCGGGCATACTGTTGTCTAATTGGAACTTCGAAATGCTGTACCATTTGTGAACTCTTGTCATCACTTCTCAGATGCTATTATATCGATACAACAATAGTTGAAATAAATACCTTTTCCGAAACGCAGCGATTGATTAATGCCATTTGAACCAATAATGCTTGTGTTAGATCGCCGCCATGTCGTTTGTCGTTTGTCACCCGAAAGTATTTCAAGACAAATGTATGTTTTAAAATTAAAACGTCTCTTCAAAACCTGAGCAATAAATGTCATCCGTGCAACCACGTATTATTCAAATTCCAACTCGTCTTTTGAAAGAAAACAAACGTATGCATGTCGATTTATTGCTGAATCGGGATATTGAGATAGGATGGATTTCCCACTTCCCCCAAGGAAAACATGCGAATGTTGGTCAATCAATTCTGCTAATCTTCTCTGCGATTTTCACACTGAGATAAATGAGAAATCAATATGCACTAAAGAGATTAGTCAATATCGTCACAACCGCTTTCACTCATAATGGGCAGGATATACGTGCCTTTGTGGTACATAACAAACTGTGTTCAAATGGCTGCTTTCTGCTAACATATGTACAACAATAGATATCCATATTTGAGTTTCTTTTTTAAAATAAACAACACCAACTGATGTAATGTTGCCTAGGGATCGTCGTCATAACAGCCTGCAGGGATCTATGCCGATATTTCTTCACTCTTGATATCTTTGGACTGCCACAATGTAATCTGAATCATCTGGACGTCATCCCTTAACATGTTAAAAATATTAATTCCGTGTTAAATATGTCATCATCTGTGTTTCGTTAGCCAAAGTTGCTCCCTGCGTTATCAGCATACTTCATCACAGTTTCATCACAATGTTTACGTCATAGAGCCAGATCAACATCCCCGTGCTTCTGTGTTTCATCAGTCATATACGTCATAGAGCCAGAGCAACATCCCCGTGCTACTGTGTTTCGTCAGTCATATACGTCATAGAGCCAGATCAACATCCCCGTGCTACTGTGTGTCACCATAGTCATATACCTCATAGAGCCAGATCAACATCCCCGTGCTTCTGTGTTTCATCAGTCATATACGTCATAGAGCCAGATCAACATCCCCGTGCTACTGTGTTTCGTCAGTCATATACGTCATAGAGCTAGATCAACATCCCCGTGCTACTGAGTATCAGAGCTAGATCAACATCCCCGTGCTACTGTGTTTCGTCAGTCATATACGTCATAGAGCCAGATCAACATCCCCGTGCTACTGTTTTTCGTCAGTCATATACGTCATAGCGCTAGATCAACATCCCCGTGCTACTGAGTATCATCAGTCATATACGTCATAGAGCCAGATCAACATCCCCGTGCTACTGAGTTTCGTCTGTTATATACGTCATAGAGCCAGATCAACATCCCCGTGCTACTGTGTTTCGTCAGTCATATACGTCATAGAGCTAGATCAACATCCCCGTGCTACTGAGTATCAGAGCTTGATCAACATCCCCGTGCTACTGAGTATCATCAGTCATATACGTCATAGAGCAAGTTCAACATCCCCGTGCTACTGTGTTTCATCAGTCATATACGTCATAGAGCCAGATCAACATCCCCGTGCTACCGTGTTTCATCAGTCTTATACGTCATAGAGCCAGATCAACATCCCCGTGCTACCGTGTTTCATCAGTCAAAGAGCCAGATCGCCAGATTCATATTTTAGCATGAAGTGTTATCGGCGTTCAAGGTCCCTGTACTAACTCACGCGCTGGGGATAAAAAAAATAACTACCTCGAGGTAATCAGGTGTTTCAAGATAACAGAACCTGGTTCTCGTGGTGGGTTTGCTCGTCATTTAAAATCACCAAACGTAGTTTATGTTGCCCTTTAAAGTGATGTCACTTTTGGCTTCCATGTGGAAGTGTAGTCAGTGTATTACGCGATTCGGAACTTGATGAAGTCTAGATTGAACCCCATTTCACCCCCACTACATCAGCTATGTTTCTGTGACATTCAGCAGCGATATGATCCATGCCAGCCAGCCAGGCCCCTAGGACTGGCAGTTTATACTCACTGGATACTTAGTTTATCAACATGTCATATTGTTACCTGTAGACAGTGATGGATACTTTACTGCTTACATTTTCCACCGTGGTACCCTCTAAATTGTTGATATAGGAATGTTTGAATAATGTGTTCCGCCCCGAGGTTTAGCTACGTGAACAGAATACTGTTTGTGTAGTAACATTCGACCAATGTTTGTATATACTGAAACAAAATATACAGACATGTTAGTGAAGGAAGCTACGTGCTTACTTCAACCAGACACTAGGTGACCAGTTAGCATCTGGCATGTCTATAATGCATAAACAAAGGCTTGTCATCATAGGTATACACACAGTACCAATGCCAAACCAAAATAATTCCCGTTATATATGTTCCACTATTTCATTCTGTCAGTTTAATTCCCATTTACATTTGTTCTGCTGTGTATTTCTGTCAGCAAATCTCCTTTAGGTTCAGTAAACTACGGTTATAACGAACTCAAAGGGACCACTAACTTTAGTTCGTAATAACCGTAGTTCGGTATAAGCATATATACAGTATACATGTATATACAGCAAATGGCCTGGACTAAGAAATAAGTTCGTTTTATCGGTCAGTTCGTTATAAGCGTGTTCGTTATAAACGTAGTTTACTGTATGTTCCTTTATTTCTTTCTCAGTATAATCTCCTTTATGTATGTTCCCTTATTTTTTTCTGTCAGTATAATCTCCTTTACATATGTAGCCTTATTTCTTCCCGTCAGTATAATCTCTTTTATGTATTGATGTTTCCTTATTATTTTCGATTTGTTTTTGAGTGAGATATATTTTATTCAGTGGTATCCTTTACAAATGTCATATTTCTGCGGAGTTAATTACCTGAAGTAAACGTGTATGTCAGATTGTCATTTCTCCCTCATTAACATAACAGGACGTGGTATAAATGAAATAATGTTAATGTGCGATCCATAACGCGTTCATTTCTTGTTGGTTTTCTGAGATCTGCGTGTGTTCAATCCGTTTCTTCTTGATTAACAACGTTGTATTACATACAGTCTACAAGGTGTCATGACATTGCAGGTTTATGGCGGAGTGTTACCCTGGAATGTTTTTCGGAGAATGTCATACGACTCCGGGTTACAGCTTTTAAGGCGTTGGTTAAGTTTCTAAACGATTTATGGTAGACTTGGGGGGATATTTCCAAACAATTGGAATAACGTTGTTTTTTTTCTTTTACAACTTTATGTTAGACTGCGACCCATGCACACATGACTATAGAGAGCGATACCCTCATTGTCGCCCTAACAAAGGGTTGGAGCACCATTGTCAACCATAATTTACAACAGAGAATCGCCTACGTTGTGTTTTATAATCTAGCCAGCAAAGCTGAGAACCTTATCTCTTCAAGACAAACAGGTGAAATGGGGTGTAATGCTTTCAAGATTATTGTACTTATATGGCGACGTGCATTTGTCTTTTTGTATGACGCAGCCGGGGATCGAACCGCCGACCTTCCGCTCTCCGGGCGAAAGCTATATCCACTAGACCACAGAGGCGGTCGATACAAACAAAACATGACAGTAATAATCATGACTTTTTATTCGCTCATTTATCACTTATATAGCAAAGCTTTCGCAATAATTATCAATATTGAGATTTCTTAATGAGCTCACATCTCGAATTCCTCCGCGTTTCAATGACGGTGCATCATCTCGGAGTCTGACGTCACAGCTGTATGGTCTCGTTACCAACTTACACTTCCGACGTGGTGATTCCATCAAAATG